ACAGCTTTCTACATATGATTGTACAGGGAGGCAGAAATTGAAACAGGGAGAGCAATTAGGAGGTTAGGTCCAGGTCCGAATGAGAGACATGGGTTTCCAAACCTAGAAGATGCTGGTGAAGAAAGTAGGAGGGATGGGTTTAAGTGGACATAGTACTATTTAGATAGAGAGGAAAAGGCTGGTGGGTGGACTGTATGTTTTAGCTAGAAAAATGATTCTGAACGCTTTGCCCTGAGATACTGAAAGAACGGAGCTGCTGTCTGAGATGGGGAAGTAGGGGAGGATTAAGACTTGGTAATCTCAAAGATTCTGTCTTAGACAACAGATGGCACCCAAATAATCAAAATATATGATTACGAGTGATCACATCCTAACTGGGGAACTTTCCGTACTAGAGTTGTTTTCCTCCTGATGTCACCTACCCTGTCCTTGACCTCAAAGGAGCATAAATTACCATCACCTGTGATAGGATTAATGAACCTAGGGAGGGACAGTGGGAGGAGAAAGCTCCCTGGTACTTCAGTTACAAACCCTGGCACTCACAGTGGAAGGAGAGCCTCTGTCCGGGGTAGACTTCATCAGCACTGACTGCTCCTGGCAAGAAGACAGCACAGTTTTCTTCACCAGCACCTCTATCATCATTAGAAACTGCTCCAAAGGACCAAGTGGACACAATTCTAGCTAATAAGAGTCCCTGGGAGGCTTTGCTCTCTGCTACCATGAACTGGAAAGGAAGGAGAACAAGTTCTGCTTTGGGAAGGTTAGAAGCATCTGATGTTAACAGGTAAGAAAAATTTATCTTTATTCCTTGATTTATTCTTAATATAGTAGATTTTTCCAGAATTCTCTGAGCCAGAGACCAGGCACAGAGCTGTTTCCTATACAAAAGGGTTGTATATGGTAACTATTTGCATTGTCAATGGAGCAGGCTTTGCTCATCAGGAGAAGACAGAGAGAGGCTTTTTGCATTCATTGTGGAGCCTGACCGCACACCCCCTCAGCTCGGGAGACATGAATAGCGATACACCTGGCTCTGTGTGTGTAATCGCCTGTTGCCAAGGAATTTTGTCCCTGTCGTCAGAGCCTCTGCCTTGATAAATTATTTGCACTTCAAAAAAAAAAACTTGAATTTGAGTAAATCCTGAGACTATCATGAGAACTCTCGATGAATGTAAAACTAAAGCTCTTTCAGAGCACTTATTAAATAGAACACTATCCAAAAAGCTTTAAGGACCTCCTGAACCATTTGAAGATACAGACTCCTCAACTAAGAATACGGCTAATGAAGGTTATAAATGCCATTTCCAACATTTTGACTTCAGGGCATATCTTGTTCTTGTCCTGACCACTAGGCATCTACATTTTCTATCATATTGCTCTATCACAAATTTTATCTTTTCCATGTCCACAACAAAGTAAGTTCTAGAATATTTTTAGCTCAGGCTTTTGGCCATTCCTTATTTGCCTGGTGTTAGTGAAATGCTGTAATACAAAGCAGTCCATTTCTTATGAGGTGACTAAACTAAGATACAGTGGACTCTTGACTTACGAACTCAATTCATTCCCAAGGACTGGTGGTAACTCAAGTTGGTGAATTGTCTTCAAAGTCTCTCTCCTGTATAATTTTAGGCCACACTTTCTTCCAGGCAGATCTCAATGTCCTTAGAGAAACATTGGTCCAGGATTTCTCAACCCCGCACAGGAAAAAGGATGGTGTGATGTTCCTTCCAGGATTCTTTAAGGGTGAAATTTGTATCTGAGACCATCTGGAAGTGCAAGAAGCTGGCATTTGGATCATAACTCGAGACTTTGCTCATAAATTAAAACTAAAATTTTGGTCGTAACCCAAATTGTTCATATGTCAGGTCGATTGTAACTTGAGAGTCCACTGTGTTCTCTTAACTTGGAAGAAAAATTTGACTTTTGACAGTTGAAAGAAACAAACCGCAAATATAATGTTAAGTTAGTGTCAACATTGGAAAATGATACACTTAAAAGACTGCATAACTATTATTTACAAAATAAGGTAAAAGGAACCTTAAATTATAAGTTAAATGTCACCTGGTCTTGTTAAACCACGAGTACAACTTAACATGCTCTTGGCTGTAAGTCGTAGAAAACCCACAAGGCCTAAACATTGAAAAAATTAATTGCCAGAGTGCAACTTAAAGCCAGTGGTAGAGAATCCTCCACAGGTGGTTAATTCAATGTGATTCAAGTCAAATATTCTTTCTGCCCTAATTGTCCGGATTGCTCCACCTCATCAGCACCCCACTCCACCCCAACATGATGAACTGAATCTAAGACCTTCACAATGAGCTTCCTCCTCAGTCCTCTTTATTTTTTTATTTTGAGACGGGTTCTGCTAAGTTGCCCAACCTGGGCTTGAAAATGTTATCCACTTGTCTCAACCACCCAGAATGCTGGGATTACAGGTGCGCGCCACCATGCCTGGCCCAATTAGGCCTTTGACCCCACAATTATTCTGGTTGCAAGACAGTTGCATCATCTTCATCTAGAGCCCAAATCTCAGGTGGGAAAGGAGCTCAGTTTTCTTTTTCATCTTGAACATAGACCTTTCCCAAAAGCTACCCAGTAGAATTCTATTCACATCTAATTAGCCAATGTTGTGTCACATTCTCACGTCTAAACCCAATCCAGTGAGGAGAGTGGGTTACCATGGTGGCTGTGATCCCTTGACTCTCCCCTTGAGTTAGAGAGAATCTTTTTTCTTACCTATATGAAGGCAGAGTTCTGTCAGCCAGGGAAAGATGAGAGGAATGGCTGCTGGATAGAAAGGCATAGACAAGCCCCAGCATCTTCATTATATATACCTTTGGCTCTGCCCTCTCTCTTTTGTAGTTCCTGTTGCTACTCCACTTCCTCTACCTATCCTCTACATTTTGGGATTTCCTGGGACTCAGTGTAGGCCCTCTTCTTTTCTTTCTGTGTAGTTTCTGCGAAGAAAATCCCATGCAGTCCTCTGGTTTTAAATGTTATTTCCATCCTGGGCAACCTTACCCCTCCTTTCACTTTGTATTTGGACATCAAACTTTGGACTTGACACCTCTCCCTTCATTCCCAGAAACATCTCAATTGTGACATGTACAAAATAGAGCTTTTTATACCCCCACAAACAGCAACTCCTTGGGTGTTTACATCTTAATAAGTAGCACCTTTGTCTGCCTAGTGGTCTAAGACAGAATCCTAGGAGTCAGTGTTGACTCTTGTCTTCCCCAAATACCTTGTCTTTTATTCATCACAGTATCTCATATGCTATTCTAAAGACCCAGCAAATAGTAGGTACTCTACAAACATTTGATGAAATTTGATTGAATTACTCATACAGGTCATGTCTTAGCTGAAGAGTGAAAACATGGAGGTTGGAAAGAGCATAAGGATAATACTATGTGGTATTCTGATAATGGTGTTTATTCTGAGATGGATGGTCACAGTGCATTCGAAGTGGCATAATGCCATTTGCCCTCGCATACTGAAACATATTCCCATCCATTCTTTGGCAAGACTTCTACAAGCATGAAAGGAGTGCAGTAGAATCTTACAACATACTCAGAGCTGCTCATAGATGCCTTGGCCTCCAGAATGCTCCTCAGGGCAATAATGCCAAGGAATGCCCAATATGAATTGAAACTGTAATGTATGAACAAGTTTCTTTAACTCACCGTTTTGGAATTTGAAAATCCAAACAGCATAGCACAGGCTCAGCAAAGTCCACTTCTTAGCTGTATCACCTCAAGGTGTACAAAGCGAGGGGAGGAGCAGGTGGAGGAGCTAGCATATAATTATATCTTGAACCAGGAGTAGAGAAAGGGCTAGGGCCAGGCTTATTCCTTTTATATAAGTACTCTCTGAAGAACTCAAAGGGTCACATGTTAACTACGTTACTCCCCCCAGTGACCTAAGGATCTTCTAGCCAGGTCCCACCTCCCAAATATTCCATGGTACTTCCCATTACCTTCACCTCACAGACAAACCTTTAACCACAGTGGACCCTTGGGGGACATAAGCCATCTTCAAAGTATAGCACTGACTGCCATCATATTGTGAAGATGGAAGATGATTCTAGTCAGCTAATGCTGCTTAATAAGCTCCTGCAAAATCTTGATGTTGCACAGCGATGAGAATTTCTTTTATCTTACTCTGCAGTTTGGCTGGAGTGGCTGGTCTAGGCTTGGTAGTTCAAGTTCTCAATCTGGCTGGGTTTGATGGAGATGACTCTGCCTCACATGTATTTACTGGGGTCCCAGCTGGAAGAGCAGGAACTCCTTGAGGCAGGCTCTTCTTATAATGATGAAGTACAAGAGGGTAGCTCTTGTCCTTTTAAAATTTAGGCCCAGAAGTGGCACACTGCCACTTTTTCAAATTATTCGAAGCAAGCACAAGACCAAGCCCAAGGTCAAGGGCAAAACATGACTCCTTTTTTCGGAGGATATGCAGAGTTATGGAGCAATGAACATGAATACCAGGTGAGGACCAGAGCAATACTTAACCTTTTATTACACATGGAAGAAAACAGAAAAGCAAGCCTGGGTTCATGTTAAATCAACTGCATGCAAGGTGAATCTCCATTTCCCTCTATTCCTGGCTGTTCCTCACTGTAATTCAAGCTGCACCTTAGAGTCCCTTTGGAGTATATTACCTAGTGCAGGTTCTATCCCTCCAAAATTCATTTGTTATTTATTCAGTAATGCTGGACTGCTTTCCGGGTGGGTGCCCTGGATGTTGATTTCTCTAGTATGGTTGTTATGGGAAACATTTCATTTCACATCTGCTGACACAATTTGCTGTCTCTTTCAAAAAAAAAAAAGAAAGAAAGAAAACAAGAGGGAAGCTCATACTCTGATGGCTGTGAAGGATAATGAGTAATTTATTCAGAGCTATATACAAATCAGACTATCGTCTTTCAGACAGAATCAATAATACAATTTTAAGCCCACACACATTTACAAATGCTAGCACTCCAGCACAGCTGGGTTGCCATGGGCAACCAGGGCATGCAAGCTTATGATCTGAAACAGGCCGCTGCTGTCTTCCAGCCTTGTAAGTGCATTCTGCAGACAGAATTCCAGGGAGCCCAGGCATTTGCCTTGGCTCTGATCTGGCTGCCACACAAGTGCACCCCTGCGGTGGTTTGGATTAGTTCTTGTCTGAACTGCTTAGCTTTATTTAAACCCCTGTTTGACAGGCCTTCTTCAGTGTCCCTCCTGCGTCTGTGTTTCAGTAAGGCTGGGAGATGCACAGGGAGGCATGTGAAGGAGCTGTGGAGAGCAGATGAAGAGAACTCTACCCATAGCCTCTGGTGCTCAGAGCAGGGGAGGGCATCCTCAGGCCCACCGGAGGGCGCTGGCTGGTTGGTAATGGAAAGCTGGGCACAATGGATCTTTCTGATAAGGACCAAAGGGGTGCTGGTTGCTAACATTTGTTGATAAGAAAAGAAGGATGAGACAGAGACACAGGGAGATATGAGGGGGAAGGAGGGAGAGCTCTGGGAGCAGAATCACAGGCAGGCAGGTCTCATAAAGAGATCTAGGGGAGGGGTGGTTCCATTTAAATAGGTCAATACTAATTTAAATGCATTGTCAAAGGAGCCTGAATCATGTTATTTCCTGGTGGAAAAGCCACTGAAAAATTTTTAATAATGAATGGGAACTGAGTGGATAAAGGGGAGGGAGGAGAGGAAAGAATAAAATCATGACTAAACTGAGTTTGAGAGGCTGGTTCCACTTTCAGGTGAATAGGGAGAGAAAAGAATAAAAAGCACTTCCATGTCAAAGACTGGAAAGCTAGTTGAATGGTAAGGGAAACAAGGGTGAAGTAGCATTTGACACACTGAGATCAGGAGCCAGCAGGCAGCCAAAAGGAAAGATCCTGTGGCCAGGAAAACTGCTCTGGATCTTTAGGAAGAGCAGGATCTCCACCCTCAAGCCTTGTGTTAATTTGAGCCCCAATGTCTCTGGCTCTGGGATTCACCCTTTCCTCTCATTTCCCTTGTTCTTAAAACTTCTTGCTCCATATTTTCCAGTATCTGCTCCCAAGCTCTAATACTTTTTCTTTTATGCTGTGTGCACAATCTCCTCTAAAGTGCTATCCTTGACCATTACCATCAGATGGTTGATCCCTTGTGCACATGGCCTTCACTAAAGCTGACCTTTCTCAGTGAGAACAACAGAACCAATAATTTCCATCCAGCCTCTCCCACGGTTCCATTCAGGGAGTAGACTCATCCCACTCTGAGCAGTCTCTCCCAACTCTCTTGAATAATTTCTTGTTTTCCAGTGGATCTTCCCATTTGAGTGTCTCAAAAGGAGCTTTGAGTCAATTATTGTAAACTGCACATCTTCTTTTGTTTATTGTTTTTCTGAGATCCTTTCACCCTTTGTTTCAGTTAGAACCCTGGAACCATGCTTTCTCTTCCCCAGTCTCCAGCCATGGAAGCCTATTCTTTCAGCCCACACTGTGATTCAGACCTTGCTTTCATTCAGACACTCTGTAGGTCTGTCCTCGGCTCCTGCCAATGGTCTCTGTCCCTTCCAATGTTTCCATACTGCAGAAAGAATGGTCTTTGAGAAATATCTTGCTGAGGTAGTTTTCATTTTCTTAAAAATGATATCCATCCTCCTTAGTACAACATATGCTGAGGCTCTAATTCCCAGGAATTTGTTGGTCTCATCTCTTTGTCCTCCCTGGCTTACACCAAAACTTCTCCATGTGTAACCACTAGGAGCTCCATCATTCCATCAATATTCAGCTCTTTCTTGCCTTTGCACTGTTCTATTTACTCTGTCTCTTCCTGGAATGCACAATCCCTTGACTGTCTGGAAAGCTTGACTTATCTCTTCAAGGGCTTCTCCAGAAAGCACCTCCCACCCCAGCTTCACCAGAGTTAAATTCTTTGTTATGTTGCTATATGACAAGTTGGCACTTAACACATTATTAAACTTACTGGCTCACCTGTCTGGCCTCTGTTTTGTCTTCATCATCTCAGCATCTGGCACAATGTCTGGTATAGGCTATGCCCAAAATAGATGTTGGTAAAAGTAAGAGAATGATTAAAGAGTGAGTGAAGGTTTCCAACAACGCTGTCACTGGGCCCACCCCTACTTAGGAAGGGTTACCTTCCACCATGGAACAGAGTCTGACTCTGGAGTAAGCCACCCTTTGAGCACTAGCTGTGGTTTGATGGGCAGATTCCGCTAAATAAGATGATAACATGGATACCAATAGCATTTGAAATGAGCTTGGAGTTTCCCAACTTCTCATTTTAGGATCAGGCTCAACGGGCCAGGTAGCATGGCCATGGTCACATGCTTGGATAATGAGGAAACCCTAAAAACACAGATCTGGCCTAGAGTTCATTAGTATTTCCTATACTACCTTCTGCTTGCTACAAGGGGGTGGTTATTAAGTGAGTGGTTTTAAAGTGGGTGGTTATTTATGAAATATTTATTATACAAAATTATAAATTATATAAGGTTACTGTAGAAAATATAGATGCAACAGAACAATAAAGAGAAGAAAATGGGAAGTATGTGTCAACTCTTCACAGACAGACAATTAGTTCCTTCATCTTGGCTCTTTGTATTGCAAAGAACAGAAATGCCTTTGAGGTAGTTCAAGCCCTTTGTGGTGGGATCTCAGGTAGAGGAACAGGGAATTTCCCGGTGATTTTAAAACAGACAAGTCTTAAGCTGGCCCTTGGCTTGCAGGGAGCAGTGGGTCTGGGTTCAAAGGCTACCTAGAGATCCATGAAAAAATAGCTCAAAGTTGCTTCTCTGGAGTCCCACTGCTCACAGAACTCAGCTCACACATTGTGTCTATTTATTTCTGCTGCACCACTATCCTCTGAACACTTTTCCAATGTGCTGTGCTAATTTAGCCACTGAGACTCACACTGGCCCAACCCATCTTTTCAATAGTCCTCAGGTTGGCGGACACCCTTTATATGTCATCAGGTCAGCTGTGGACAGGAGACTCATGAGCATTTGGAGAGCCTCTCATAGCACAGAAGGAGGAGGAGCTGGCCTAAATAATGAGAACAGCAATCCATGATCATAACAATAAAGGATGCCAATAGCTGTGTTAGCTTTCTGCCCCTGTGCTGAAATACCTGAGATAATCAACATAAAAGGGTTTATTTTGGCTCATTCTCTCGGAGATTTTAGTCCATGGCTAGTTGGCTCTATTGTTTTGGGGCCTGTGGTGAGGTGACATCATCTCAAGGAGGGTTCAGTGGAGCAAAGCTACTCACCTCATGGCCAGCAAGCAAAGAGAGAGAGGAAGGGCTGGAGTCCGTCAAGGGTGCACTCCCAATGCCCTAACATCCTCGCATTTGGTTCTACCTCTGAAATGTTCCACCATCTTCCAATAATACCACAGGCTGGAGACTTTAATACACAGCTTTGGGGACATTTCAGATAAAAAAAAACAGCAATAGCTAATATTTGTGGAGTACTGACTATGCATCTTCTACTGTTCTAAATACCAGATACATATAACATTTACTCACTCAACAAGATAGGCTCTGTAATGATCACTACTTCACAGTGGGGATAATTAATTATTGTCAGCCTTACAACATTTCTCTATACTCTATTGTTCAAGGAAACAAAGGGGTGCATTTATAATGTTTCCATTTCAAATGGAATCTCTTGGGATCCTTCCTGCAGAGACCCATTGCTCTAATTTTGGTTTCCCAAAGTGCTCCATTGAAGTGTTCCATGATCTCAAATCATCCCTCCCTCTTTTCAAACCCCCTCCTTTCCAGATCCTACTCCATTCAGTGGACTTCCTGCTCTCCTCCCTTCTCTTCACCTCACCACAGTAAAGCCCAGCTTGGCTTACTGGTGTGTAGGGCCTGCCATTAGTAAAGAGATAAATGCTATAATCTTATTCAACCAATGAAGTAAAATTTCACTAAGCATAAGGGAGCCTTCAAAGGGTGGTTCTGTATTATTTTTTCTGTAGTATCTTTTCTTATATTCAGGGTCCATGCAACACCCAGGCTTTAACAAGATGCATCAAGATTTCTTCCTAAGGGGGCGCTCTTTTTTATTACCCAATAATCCTGTCCCTTGAAAGCAGCCATACTTCTCTGTGACACAGAAAGGAAAATCACAATCTAGTTTTCACTGGCAGCTGTGCCACTCAAGGGATAACTGGTCTACCTCTTGTTTCTTTTTCTCAGATCCAAAATTTTGGGGAAAATAAAAAGAAATTACAAAGTTTTTCTGCCTTATTTTTCAACCAAAGAGATGAGTTTCTTCCTAAAGTCTGTATTTAAAAAAAACATAGCAAGCAATATCTCTAAGACTGAGAAAGTCAAGTAAGAGACTAGCAGGTATTGCTCTAAGTACAGATACAAAAGAGCTCATTGCCTAAGATAAGAAGTCTGAAATCTATTATTGCCTCTGTTTGCTTAAGATGGAAACACTAATAGAAAAGACAGTAATCACAGGCACCTTTAGGAATTTTTCTCAGCAGCCCCTGTAACACTGTTGTAAAATTAACAGTAATTAGGATTATTGCTTAAACGTCCTGTCATTTATATCTAATCACCACGCACTACAATAAAAAGATTATCATGAAGTATATGTCAGGTTCACTTTGTTGTAAACTTGATTTAATTACAATCCTTCATTTTTCACAGAGTTTGCCTTAATATTTTTATGCTTCCTCATTACACTGTCTGTTGAGAACTGAAAATAGTTACAAGGGTTGGTACTGGAGTCCATTTCTTTTCTTGCTTTTTTTTTTGTCATAGCAAGGTGGGAAGTGTTCAGCTTGATTCTTTCTTCAGTGGTCAATTGAGTCAGAGATCTCGTCTCCACACCCTAAAAGTCCTTTCTTCCTTTTGAAGCCACCTCTGATACTGTGGCTATCTGGGTTGCTCATAGAGAACTGAATGTGGGTTGGAGTGGCCCCTAGGTCTTTTCAGAGAATCTTAATGGGATTGTGCCTGTGTACAGCATCCTGAACTCAGCGGCAATCCTGGGAAACTCAGTGATTATTCGAGCTCACATTTGCCCCGCTGGGCCTCAGCCTTGGGTAGACCAAGGTCTGCAGAAGGAGGAACTGCCAGCCTGCCTCACACGCCAGAGGAAGCACAGCCACTCAGTGGGCATAGAAGAGCTGACAGCAGGGAGGACGCCACCGCCCCACGCAGACCTTGCACAGAGCCTGAGCCAGGGAAAGGTAAGTGGGCCTCAAGCAGATGGCCAGGGCAGTCTATCAGGCAGGCCCCTAGGACTGGTCTGTAATCCTCAAGCAGGACCAGATCAGCCGCTGCCAATGATGCAGTGAAAAGCTAGGGTCCCTATTACATATATGGCAGTCTCTTCCGTCAGGTCTTACCTCCCTTCAGGTATGATCTGTAACCATCCCTCGCCCACTGGCACCCCTTCCAGAGGACCTCTTACAGCCCACCTGGCTTTGACATGCTTCTCTCCTCATCTCTGGAAACATCTCCTTTTCAATCACCAATTCCTTACCGGTTCCATTCTTTTCTTTCCCATGAGGGAGTTACCTCTGGATAAACCAAAGTCATACTAGTATGTTATGGGTGCAAAAAATTCCAGTGATCCATGTCACTTGGCTTCAATTCAGCAAACATTTATGGAGCAGCAACATCAACTGAGCCCCAGAGAAAAGGCAAATTTAACAAATTCTAGACCCTGAAGACTTTAGACAGCTGCTCCAGTTTTTCCTCTAATAAGATGTTTTTAGGTGCTACCATGGTGAAATTTTTTTATTTAAAAAAGTGTTTTTATGTTCATGTATGCTAGGAATATAACAAGAACATTAAATCCATGATTTCATTATTACTCTTGTCTAGAATGAGGCTAAAGAAGGTAGTATGTAAAATAAGCAAGGCTATTTAAAGAAAAATACTAAATTAATAATAGAAATAGCAATATCTGTGCAGATTCTCATGGCTAATATTTAGGAAGCAGGAATTCAGTAGGAAAGTGTTAGAGTCTAAACATGAAGTGTGAACCAAAGATTAATTTACTAAGGGCAGTAACCCTCTGATGAGTTCGTAGCTAAAGGAACTGTTGGAGGTGAGGTCTAGTTGGAAGAAGTAGGTAGTTGGGGGCATGCCTTTGAAGAGTGTAACTCTTTTCTCTCTGCTTCCTGGCTACAATGAAGTAAGTGGCTTTCCACTGTCATGTCCTTCCATCGTGATGTTTCTAATATGAAGCCACCTACCATGGACCAAAACCTCTGAAACTGTGAGCCAAACAAACCTTTTATCCATTGTGTATTTTGTCCCAGCAGTGGAAAAGCTGACTAATACAGAGAGAAAAACATGTATCCAAAAGCTACATCTTCTTAATACAAGGAGGAAGAAATTACTTCTGACTTGGGGGACATGGAAGGCTTCACAGAGAATGTAGCACTTGAAATTGGCCTTAATGGATAAGAATTATTCCGTGGCCATTTAATGTTGGGGCTACTCACCTGGAAGAAACAGCACAAATCAAGGCACTCAACTTATGGAAGTACATGGGGCCTGAGAAACAGGAATAGGACTTCTGCTGACCAGTGAGGGTGGTAAAAATTGGGTTTTGTTCTTTTTGCCTTGATGACTCATGTGGGTAACATTTCAAAAGGGTTTTTCTTAGAGTGGGGATCTTTATATTGTGAGTGTTATGATTGTGCCTAGACGTCTTCCCAAAGCCTCATGTGGTCATAAATGATGGCTGGATCTAGGGTGTGTGACACTAGGATTAGGGGTGTGATGCTGGGATTAAGAGTGTGATATGTTGTGTGATTACTGAATTAGTCCACTGATTGGTTTAGCATGGTCTGAGTATGTATAATGGGAAGGCCCACCCTGGGAATGTGTGGCACCACCCAAAAGTCGGGTAGCCCAGAAGGGACAAAAGGGAGAGGCAGGCTGCTGCTGCTTCTATTGATTTGAGGCTGCTACTGCTGCTGCTGCTTTCTGCCTCTGCCCACTTTGCCATGCTGTGGACTGTTTGTCCCTTGTGGTGCCCCTCTGCCCTGCCACCCTGCTTTGAAACTAACCATTGACTGAAGCCTCTACAAACTGTGAGCTAAATAAGCCTGTCCTCCTTTAACTTGTGAGTGTCAGGTGTCTTATCTCAACAATGAGAAAAATAACCAAGATAAAGAAAAAGATGCACAGTCAGGAAATGGATTTACTGAGATATTACTGGTGTCCAAAATAGTTTCAGAAAACAGACAATGTTAAAACACATGGTCTAACTATAAAAAGTAGATTGTGAAGCTTTTGTTTTGTGAGTGTTAAACCATGAAATGCAGTCAAGAAGGTCTAACCTGTTGCATCCATGTGATGAGACTCACAGCCATGGTGGAGCTTCATAGGAATGAGACTGTTTCTGGTCATCTCTTGAGTCAATGCATGTAGCTGTTATCTGTTCTACACCAACTTTCCCATCACCCATCAAACCTTTCAATTGTCTTCTGGAATGAAGTGAGGAAGTTTTGGTAACCATCAAAGGATGGCAGAGCCACATTTCATGTCTCAGTGTTTTGCAGACAGCCTGGGTTTTTGTTTTAAAACAGCTTTATTGAGGTTTAATGGTTGTAGAGTAAACTGCAAATAACATACATACATGTTACCATACATTAACATACATAATCTGATGAATATAGGCATATCATTGTGCCCATGAAACCATCACCAACATCAGGAAAATGGGCATATTCATTTTCTCTAAAATTTTCCTCATGTCCCTTTTTTCTGTGGGTAGTGAGAATATGAAACCCATGTTACTGACAAAATTTTTAAGTGTACAATGCAGTACCATTGATACTAAGTACTAAATTGCTTTACACAGCAGATTTCTAGAACTAATGCACTTTGCACAACTGAAATTTTATGGAGAGTCCTCAAAGAATTAAAAATAGACCTACCATATGATCAAGCAATTCCACCCCTGGGTATATACCCAAAAGAATCAAAGTCAGGATCTTGAAGAGATATCTGTTCATCTATGTTCATATCACCATTATTCAGCATAGCTAAGACACATAAATAACCCAGGATGGATTTTAAGCCTTTGCTAATTAGATTAACAACTAGTTTGGCAGTGCCATTCCCCCAGCCCTATTGCTTGTGACTGACTGGCTTTAGTAGGTGTCTCTGAGGCCTAGAGCCCCTTGTTGCCATTTTGGAATGGTAACATGATCAGAAATTCCCCCCACAAGTCACATATGAACTGGGGCTGAGTCTGGGCTGTGCAGGAGGATGTGGGATGATGCCACTTCAAAGAAAAAGTGATGGCCTAAAAGTGATATGTATTTAAATTAGCTGCAGGGAAATAGGCATACAGTATCTATTTTTAATTTGTGTTAGAACATACAAGAGTCAGGGTTGCTCATAGAACAGAATATTGGCTTTAAGTGCAGAAGATGAAGACATCCTCAGCTTTACCACTCACTTATTTTCTGACAGACAGTGGGAAAAAGCCCAGGGAAGAGAGCAGGCAGCAGGATGTGTGAGCTGCTGTGAGTTTATCACGAGTGTCTTCAGATTCTTTTCATCTCTGGAGACTCTAAACTTGTTACCCCACCATCCTGGGTCAGCTCCTTCATGTAGCATGCCCCTTCCCTTAAGACCTGCTCCCAGCAAAAGTTATAGAAGTTTCTTTCTCAGTCTGATGTAACAGACTGACAATAGCTTTACTTTCACCTTTACTTGCATTTCAGAGGGCCTGAGTACCTCAGCGCCTAGGAAAGCACCTGCAGTTGGGCCATTTGGTACAGTCAGTGGACAGCATCTGTAAGCAGGGAACCATTCTTGACACAATTAAAGCACCACATACAGTAGCTGGCTATGCCTCTGTCTTAGCCTGTCTTATACTGCTGTAACAAAATACTCAACGTTGGATAACGTAAAAGGAAAAGGAGTTTATTCAGCTCACAGTTCTGGTGACTGAAGATTCAGACACTGTATACCAGGTATCTGTTGGCTGCATCACAACATGGCAGTGAAAGAGAAAGGGAGCCAGCCACCTATAAAAGAGACTGAGCAGCCTCATTGTATAACAACACAGTCTCTGGAACTAATCCAATCATAAGACCCAACTCACTCCTGCAAAACATTAGTCTATTAATGATATTGGAATTCCTATGACCCACTTGGCCCTGCCCTTTAAAGGCTCCGCCTCCTGTTGCTGCCACATTGGGGCCAGGATTCTAGCACATGAACCTACAGGGGACAGATCATATGCAAATCATAGATTCCACCTATTTAGGCAGTCAGATTTGGTTGATGATACTTAGATTTTTAAAGCTGGAAACAACCAGGTCAAATTTCTTTCCCTTAGAGATAAACTAAAATTTGGAAGCGTGAAGCCATTTCAGTTTCATTTAACAGGTGTTTTTTGAGAAGCTACTGTATGCCATACCCTGCTCCTGAAAGAGAGCCAGTAATGAATACTGTGTGGCAATGCCCTATTCTCAACATCACGTTGTTGGTCTGGGAAGACTCAGAATATTCTTGCTTCTAAGGGCAGGTCTGACACTGGGTGCGGGCAGATGGCACACTATAGGCAGCAATGCAAAGGATGCTTCTATTTTTAGAACTAAGAATAGTGACTCATCAAACAGTCCTCAAAGGATATAGTCATTGTCATGTCTCTAAGGTGTTGGAGGATGAGGTTAGATCCAAGAGGCAGGAATTAGAGAAGCAAACGAAAGAAGTTTGTAACTGTTAGCTTTTCCTGATTCAGTTGAAATCAACGAAGTCTTATGAGAGAGAATGTTGTGATTTTCAAACTGCAAGTCCTGACCCCCAGTGGGTCATGATATCAGTCTAGTAAACAATAAGCACAGGAGTAAGGACCCAAGGACCCCAGAAGAGGTCTCTCCAGCTGCCCACCCAGGACCACCCGGCGGGTGCACGACCTCCCAGACTGCACGCCACCACATCCAGTAAGGAAGGTAGCCACACGGGCACCCTTGAAACACACCCATGACATGCTGCTCCCCGCCCCCGTTCTCAAACCTCCTGATTGGGCCAGTCCTTGGACCCATTTGGCAGAGGCATAGGTGCTCATGAAGGGTAGTTTTCTGAGCTCCCAACTTTGAACATCTTTAAAGAAAGGGCAAGGGAAACCTGTAATAGAGCTGAGTGGTGTTCAACCCTGCGGGTTGGGAAACTCAAGTTAGGCCTTGTGGACTGAGGTCAGTCTGAGTCGCAG